TCTGTGACGGAGGAGCAGTTCACAGATGAAGACGGGAATCTGGTCACCAGAAAAGTAACCGTCCACGCCATCCTCCATCATCACCTGTCGCATCTTTAACCTACAGCTCTCTCTCACACACACACACACACACACACACAGTATCTCCCCAGTTATATTTCAAACAAAAAAGGGGAGAGCTTTTTGAAATAGTTTAAAAAATCTTTCAGCTGACACACAGATGCATGAACACACTCTTTCAAACAGTAACACACAAGTTGTATCACGTGGCATCTCATACAACTACACACACACACACACACTCCTATGTACCCTCCTCACCCCCCATTCCATTATTTCTCTTCACAAAATGCTTTCCCGCTTTCCTCCCCGTGACGTGCTTCTGCCCCCTACAGGTGATCAGAAAGGTGGTGCGCCGTGTGTTCAACACGGAGGAAAGGAGGGAAAGTGAAGGCGAAACTGTTGCAGAAGAAGGAGCTGCTGCTGCTGCTGCTGCCGGTGTTGGTGTTGGTGTTGGCGGGGGCGGTGGTGGTGGTGGTGGTGGTGTGGCAGAAGGTGGAGCAGACACTGCTTCGGCAGGAGCAGGAGCCACAGGGGGGAAGGGCAAGAAGAGGGGGAAGCGCTCCCGACAGGGCCACAAGGCTGAGAAGTCTGGAGAGGAGGCCCAGAAAGGGAAAACTCAGGTTGGCGTTAAAACCAACCGCTTAACTTAGTTAGCTGAGCTATCGCAGCCCACTTACACCTGCATGAAGCTGTAATTGTATGCAAACACTAAATCAAATCACTCAGATGATTAACACCCAGCTCTGCAGACCTACACAGCGTTTAGCTCAGTGTTTTTCTTCATATTTAAGGCCCATTCGTTTAAGTGTTCCCTGAATTGATCTTGGCCTATAGAGCACCTTTGATCGAGGTTCAACTGGATTCAAATGTTGGAGCAAAGTTATGCCAAAATGAGTGTACACCTATTTTTTGTCATTAGAAGATGAAGAAGAGAATGGCGCCTAAACTTCTATCATAACTTAGCCAAGACATGTCAGACTACACTTGTTTTTGGTCTTTCATGACTTGCTTATCGAGCTAAGGTGATCATTCAGAAGGGGCCACAGACAGACTGCAACGACCTTCCATCCACTTAAATGAAGGAAATTCTAAAAAAAACAATCCCTGTCAGCAGTGGTTTAAACAGTCGTGGAGGGAAACGTTAACAATAATTCACACTTTCTGGTGATTTGGTTCAAATATACTGTACATGTGGATGACAACCTAGACGATATTAAACTAGAGAAAAGCAAAAAAAGGCAAATTCTGACATGCTGGTCTTTCCGTTGGGCTCATGCTGTATAGTCTGATCTCTGAATGAATCTGAGCTGGATTGCAGTCTGTGAAGTGCTGTGTAATGGATTACAGTGGCCTTAGTGTCTGTATACAGGTTGTGCAGTTTGCAGTGGTTTTGTCGTGCCGTGTGTTTCCTGGAGCGTATCTTAGCCACTGGCTCCTTGATTGGGCTTGAGAACTGCTAATATAACAATTGTTCATCTAATATAGATTTTCTCTCTTTTAACATGTATTGATGCATGTGTGATTTTGTTTGCAGACATTTTAACATCCCTATTTCTCTCCTTGAACTCGTCTCTCTTCCAGCATGCTGCTGTGATCTCCTGACGAACAGTAGTTGAGCTCAACTGCGCTTCACTAACACACACTGGGTCATATTTACCCGAGCACAACACTAACTTGGTTTTCTCTTTCTCTCCCCTTTTCCTTTCTGTTTTTTTTTTTTTTTTCTTTTTGAACCTCATTCTCTCTCTGCCAAGCCTGGAGACGGCGCCAACAAGAAACAAGGGAAGAAGAGTCAGTCGTAACAGTGGAGCTCTCAACTCAACCAGGTAAGAGGCTAAAAGCTTTATTTAAGACTATGATCAATAAATATCAATCTGTGAAACCAAAGTAGTGGAATGGTTTACAATGTCTCTTTATAAATGTATATATTAGCACTAAGATTAATTATACAACTTTATTCTCAGAGTGTTAAACATGTTTAAAAACTGTCTTTTTGAAAATGTAAAATTGCAGCTAGTGCATTAAGAGCCCCACTAGGGGTCACCAAAGCTTTGTCAATTTGTCAATAAATAGCCTAGTAAGTATGTATGATTTGTATACTTAATACATAATACATATAAATACAGTATTACTTTGTATAAAAAATAAACAAAAACTCATCTCTAAACATAAAACATTACAAATATTTACAGGAAATAATCTGGTCATAATTCATCCAAATCACGCATTTAACATGAGCTTAATGCAGTTATTGTGGTCACTATTTGAAGGTTGGGAACCACAGTACTAATGTGTCACATACTTTTAATTGATTTGTATATAAAATGTCAGAAAATAATTTAAAAAAAGACCACCAGAGCTCATTCTGGCATTTTGTCAGTCCAAAAGCCAAAGATACTTAATTTACAGTGAAATAAAACAGACCAAATCCTCACATTTCACAAGCTGGAATAAATAGAGATAAAATGATATGAAAAAAATGTATCAACCAACTAATCGATGAATCGTTTCAGCACTATTTTGAATACTGCACAGCTTTCTGTAAGCATACATCCACATCTGTGGCACTGAACCCCTACAGTATTGATCCATTTATTAATGTAAGCTTGTAATCTTTCACCCTCCAGGTCCACTGACGTCCACCTGCGACACCACACACACCCTGGGAGGAAAAACGGACTGGAAGCCTCGTCAATCGGCCAAAAAACGTGTCTGAAGCTTTCACTTACAACGCATGGTTTTTACAGCAAGACGACGCAAAACAAGTTACTTTTCTTTGATTTCGCATGAGCATGTCACCAAAACTCACTCACTGTTGGAAACGACACCGAAGGACACGCACGGACGTGAGCTGGAACTTTCTTATCTTTGATGAACGAAAGGCGTCTGTGACCAAAGACGGCACAAACAGGAAAAAAAAAAAGCAAACTGACAGATAAGGAAGACGTGTGATTCACTCTCTCAGACACTCGCCTTATTATGGTCTATTTTTTCCTCCTGGACTCACAGAATTGGGGTGTACCATGTGGTTCTTTTTTTTAAAAATGAAATATAATAGTAAATGGGTGATTTTGTTGTATATAAATGACACTGTATAAAATCTGAAAAAGAAAAAAAAGTCAAAATCAGTAGCTTCACAGATTGTTTATGCACTGATTTGAGTTGATGAAGCTTTGCAGAGTTGGTGCATTTGTATTGAGAGGTCGACACTGTTTGAGCAGCCTTGAGTGTGTGACCTGACATGCTCTTCCAAATGAATATTAAAAAGGAACAAAAAAGCTGTATGTAAACGAGAAACGAATGGAGATTTAAAAAGAAAACAAAAAAAAACCTGCTTGATTTTAAACAGAGGACGTTTCTTTAACAGCTTCTTCCGCTCTCTGTCTGTGGGACATTCTTCAGAGAAATTATATTTTGCTGCATGTGACGTCACTTTATTTTTAACGCTTTCTGTTTTTTTTCTCCTAATTCAAAAGCACTGTAATACAATTAGAGAGGGTTTGATGGTACTTCTGTTTATGTGAGCACTCATAATAACCCACACCATCTGTCATCTATAACTGTTTTTGTTTTGATTTTTTACAAAAATGGAAACACACACACTCCACACTCGAATGGCGGCAGATTGCTTCATTGTTACGCTTCAGGAAGGTCCCCGAATGTAACCTGCAGACTGGTACGTTGTGTTATCTCCAAAACTGCTAGCAGCTCCCCGTGTGTGTGCAACATCAAATAAAAAATGTCTATCTGTAAGCCCATCATGCAAACTAGACGTGTACGTTTAAGCTTTTAAGTCTGCTGTGGTTTTAAAGAGGGGACTGTTTTCATTCTGACGGTTTTGATGACTTTTATCTTTATTTAATTGGTTGTAATTACATGAGAACAGAGAATCTAATTTTTAGCCCCATCATCCAAATCTAATCATTTTTACTAAATCACATTACTGATCACACATTGGTAAAAAATCTGATTTTCTGTTCCTGTGTAAAACTGTTTGTCTTTTTTTTCATACAAACCACCCCAAGCATCCACTGTTGATGATAAATCTGGTACCAACATGTATGACGAACCAACATAGCCTACACTGGATGATCCAAGTAATTATTTAAGCAGAAAAATAAATTGTGTTTAAACTGAACGTCTGTGAGTCGGTCTGCTTTCTCCCAATTGATTATGTTTTACTTCATGGTTTCAGTGGAGACCAATATGGGTTCTTCAATGGTCGATGCCGATATTGAGACAGAAGGGCAGATATATAACGCGGGTATCGAAACAAAGAATAGTCATGATGCACATTACAATCTAATATATATCAGTATCTCAGTGAGTAACATGTTTAAATAACATTTTTATTCATTATTGAAACAGAAAAATACATTGGTTTCCGCTGTAGATTTCAGAATGTGACTGGCATTTAAGAGAGAGCGCGGTACAGTATATCAGAATCGACGTCATTCAACTGCATCATTATAATTATAATATATAATGTTAGCCAGTAACGGTTTTAGATTAGTTTTGCTGTCACTTAGGTTGGGAGATAAGTGCACCTGAAATGAAAATCAGAGTGTTATTTGCTTCCACATATTTACGTATTTCCTGTAAAAACAGGCAGCTAGGGAGTAGCTGATAGCGCTGTGTGTTAAGTTCTCCCAGTAAAGCGGCTATAGCGGATCCATTAGATCCATTAGATCCATTAGATGACTCTACCAGGACCCAGTGAGCAGCACGTCCAGACCAGGACTGAATGCAGACCGTTACTTTGGGTCTCCTGGCTGTTGCACTTTTCATTTTACCTTCAACATGTTCATATGAAATAAATATCTCTTATGACTCATATATATGTGTATGTATCTATATTGTGTTGTTTTTTATTCAGATCTGAACAGGAGACACATCGTTCTCAGGTTGTATCAAGTAAACAGTCAGTGACAAAAAGAGAGATTTCCTGCATTTATTGAGGGTTTTAAACAAACTGTAGCACCACCTTGTATGATTTTGGAAATAAAAGACAAGTTGTGAAATGCATTTAACAAAACTGTGAAGTTATAAATAATATAAGAAAAGGGGAAACCAATATTTGATATTTCCACATAAAATTGTTTGTAACATCTCTCCATTAAGGCAATCTCTACTTTTAAAATAAAAAACATAATCTTGTGATCAGGTAAAAACACGTGCATATAATAATATCTGATATGATTTACAGTATCATTAAACACTCAGTGATTTAGAACTGTTTCTTTGAATACTGTTAAAGTTTTTAGCATTTCTGGGTCGGATTGTTTACTGTTATGATTTTTGTAAATAGATCTCTAAATATCAATGATGTGATATTTAAAAAAACAAAGACTGTGAAGAAAAAAGAAAATCTGAAACAGTAAATTTTTGTAAGATTTTGGATTGAGCAAAACCTTCTCAGACTAAACCAAAAGTTTAAAGTCAATCACACAAATAAACTCTGAACATCAGAGTGCTGATTTACAGGAAAAACTTTAAACTGATTAACATCTTGCTGAGATTAAACTGGTTAGTTACCACTGGAGATTTCTATAGAAAAACTCAAACAAACAGAAAAGCAGTTGTAATAAGTGAGGTCATGGTGCTCTCATAGATCATAAACAGGTTCCTTAATCTTTCTGTAAATAATTTAAGTGATTTTCTTTAAGTCATTCTGCAATATGGTTACTTTCTGAATCCCCACCCTTCACACAACAATTAGATTTGGTGTTATCTGAATGAAAAGATTCAGAAAATGTTGCACTTCGGTATGAAGCCTCAGTTAGATGTTCCCAGTTAAACTTTTGCCAACCTTTCTCCTGTAGATGTCGGGATACGAGTTCATTTGACGCCCAAAGTGTCCAACGACAAAGACTTCAGGCATCAGTGCAGGCTTTAACAATGAACACACAACTAATACCAGAACCAGTTTCAGTGAGCTGATGTCAAATTCTGCAGGAAATGTGTATTAAACATTTGTTTTATTTCAAGATTTAATCTTTAGTGTGCCAAAACCCTGAAGGAGGTGTCGATGTACGAAGGCTCGTTAAAGTTGTGTGAGTCAGCAAAATAAATCTTAGGTTTACACTGAATACAGCTGGAAATATGATTGTTATGTATTTCTTATAAATGATTAGAAATGGTTCTTTTTAAACACGTGAGACCAGGTGTATATAACAAATATAAATATGTGTCTAACTTTAGCCTAGTTTCAGCACTGTAATGTGATTATGTACCCTTTAAAGGAACAGTCCAACATTTAGGAAAGATTTGCTGTCTTTCCATCCGGTGTGGTCAAAATACAGATTTAGAGGTACATTTTTTTACTTTGTACAGAGCCAGGCTAGCTGTTTCCCCCAGTTTCCAGTCTATATGCTAAGCTAAGCTAACCACATCCTTAACCCAGCCCTATAACTAAATTCATCTGCCAATGGACAAGATAGCAGCATCACAGAGAACACAAAATATCGTCCAACAGTCCAAAACCCCTTTGGCCCTTTGCTGCATGTCATCATGTCATTCCCGAGATAGATAGATAAATATATCAAGACAATAAAACAGCAAGTCCTCACAACCAAGCAGCTGGAATTAGGCAATTTTTGGTATTTTTGCTTAAAAAATGACCACAACTATTAATATCATCTCGTCTCAATCTTGGAAAGAGAGCAAATGTGCATTTCCTAAAATATTGAACGTTCCTATAACGGCACTAAAGACTCGTCAGTTGCGTGGATTCTTCCCCGTGGGTCTGAGCGTGTCTCTTCAGGTCCTCTTTCCTAAAGAATCCTTTGCCGCAGACGCTGCAGCAGTGCGTCCGCTCCCCTTCGTGGACGCCCATGTGTTTAGTCAGCGAGCCGCTCGCCGTGAAGCTTTTCCCGCAGACGTTGCACAGATACGGTTTCTCTCCTGTGTGGGACCTCATGTGGATCTTCAGCGCTCCGCTCTTGTAGAACTTTTTGTCACATATGCCGCACCGGTGCGTGGACTCTCCCGTGTGGATCATCATGTGCGTCTTCAGAGTCCCCCTCTGCCTGAATCCTTTCCCGCAGACGCTGCAGAGAAATGGCTTCTCCCCGGTGTGGATCCTCATGTGAGCCATCATATATTCTTTGAAGCTGAAGCTCTGGCCGCACACGCTGCAAACGTACGGTCTCTCCCCCGTGTGAACTCTCATGTGCCCCATCAGGTTTCCGTTCTGAGCGAACGCTTTGCCGCAGACGGTGCAGACGTACGGCTTCTCTCCCGTGTGGGTTCTCATGTGCATCTCCAGCTGATTGTGGCTCTCGAAGTGTTTGCCGCACACTTCGCAGTCATTTGTTCGGATGTAAGTTTGCAAGTGAAGCCTCAAGCTCTCCTCGGACTCAAAGCGCTTCCCACACACGCCGCAAAGCTCTGTGTCCCTCTCGTCTTCTTGCACGTGCTTCAGAAAAGAGGCTCTGTAGCAGAAGGACTTGCCACACACTTTACAGCGGTATTTCAGGTGGGATAAATCCTTATTTCTAGATCCCTTAGGTTTGTTGGATCCTTGAGGTTTTGTTCTGGACTTTTCTAAACAAGATCCTTCTTTGGTCTTATCTTTCTCGTTCTCTCCGTCGTCACTGTCAGTCCCCTCGCTTTCCCTCCAGTCCTCATCGCTGTCGCCCACTTTGCTCTCGGCGTCCGAGCCCTCTGCCTCCGACTGTCTGTCGTCGGTTTCATCCCTGCAGATGTATTCTTCGTTGTGGGTCCGTAAATGCACCTTCAAGCTCTCGTCGGAATCCAGATGTTTCCCACAGGCTCCGCACAGATCCGAACTCTGCTCGTGCTGGAGCACATGTTTCAGAAAAGAGCGTTTGTACCGGAAGAACTTCCCGCAGACTCTGCAGCAGCTCTGTCCTGTAGTTTGAATCTTGTTCGTTGGAGCCATTTTTCTTGTTTGTTTTTTCATTTTCTTCCCTTTGAGGAAAGGCGCTCCACATGTTGTGCAACAATCTGCATCCTGAAATGTTTTTCTTTTGTTTGATTTGAGAGATTTCTCATTTAGCTCTTCGTCACTATCATTGTCTTCACTTCCAGCTTCTGAATCTTTTGATGACAGAACCTCCCCGTCACTGTGCGGCAGCCCTCGCTGCTCTCCTCGTGTCTCTGTTTCCGTCACAGTTGAGGTGCCCTTTTCCGCTCTTTGCGTTCGGTGAGGATGTGAGGCGTTACCGTGGGTTAACTCAGAGTCGGTCTCCGTCGACGCGTCTTTAATCTGCGGTAGTTTTGATGTTTTCTGGACCTGGCTGGAGCCTCTGTCCTGCTCACATTTCTGCTGCTCAGAGGAAATGTCCTGTTCACGGTCCGACCCAGAGAGCGGCAGTCTGTCTGAAGGGAAGATCCAAGAGGAAAAGTCAGCTTGGGCATAGTGTAAATTGACATAAATACCAACTTCCAACAATATCCCCTGTAGACTGTGTGTGCATGAGCAACAAAAGATTAGAACAAAAGTTAGATGTATCATAAATTACACTCATGCCAAGCTGTGCCAATAAATGACAATAAATATCCTGTGACGATAGAAAAATGTCTCTAATTTTATATTATGTTTTATTGTTTATTTTGTTGTGTCTCAAATCATACTCTCAACAATATTTTTCGTTATTTGTGAGAAGAAGTGGTTCTTCTACGCAGGAAATTTGCATGAAGGCCACAAAAATAAACATAGAGGACAGTGAACGTGACACAGGAAGGGGTAAATCTGAACAGAAATCTGACACAGAACAAAAAAACTGTACCATACACTAATGCAACTATAGTGGAGTCTTTTATTATATATATATAAACATTAGTTCATGAACAATGTACCTGTGTGTAAATTTGTCTCTGTTTTCAACGTGATGTCCAGCAGTTGGCGATGACGTCCGATCTCCCCGTGGGAACTGGAGACCTCGGCCTCATATTCAGCCATCATTATCTCCAGGATCCGAAAGATCTCGTCTGCGACCGCCGACAGCTTCTTGTGTACAACCGCCCTCTGCTGCTCAGGGCTCATTTCTGTAGGAAGGAGGAAAGGAGACATCTTGTGGTCAGCAGGAAATCTTTAGAAATGAACTAAATTAGCATATTGATAGATTCTGGAATTTTTAATGAGGTAGAGGGAGTAGATGTGGAGATAACATCTTTTACAAAAAGCACACGAGGTATACCTCCTTGTCTTTCATTTTGTATTTTTCATTATTGTTTTCCATGCTTAGAAATGATTTGACTTATTTGGAGTTTTAATCTTATATTCTGTTTTTCAGGGTGACTTTGTAACATCTGTCCAGAGACTACAGATGAAAAATAGCCTCTTGGCTAACTCAGCAATATACAGCAATATTTTATTAATGTGGACTGTCCATGCTAATTTAAGTCAACAAATAAAATAAAGTTAATAAATCTAGACAGACATATTTTTGGTTACAAGAAATCCTTTATTCCATCAGCTGTGACCCTCCACAATAAGAGCCTGTTTAAATAGGCCCCTTGGAATTTGTCCGACCTCATTATAATACACATTTATTTTATATAGTTTTCATTATTATTATTATTTATGTTAATACTACTGTGTGCTGTTGTTATGGTCACGAAGGCTAACATGCCAGTCACTTCCTATCATAGTATTACTGTGTACTGTAATGTATTGGATGTTGGGTGAAGTGTTTGTCCTATACACCAAAGACACATTTCCATTTATTGTACATTTGATGGATTCTAAAGTCATTTAAAGCAGAATTTTCACTGGGTCAAATATCTACATTATTTTAAAGGAAACCTTTTGCTATTATACATTCCTAAAATGAATAAACCAACTCCAGTTTGATTGATATTCCCTCGAGTGCACAAAAAAAAAACATGATTCAGGAAAATAAATCAAAACGGAAACATCTGATTTTACAAATCAACCCTTCAAACAGTCTCTATAAAATACACTGGTTGCTTTTTATAAATGATCAGCCAATAAATAAACCACTAGGACAATAAGTTGATCTGATGCACTGTTTTTAAAACCTGATTGATTTGGGATGGCGTCACCAATTATTGCATAATCGATTGGCTGAACAGTGAAGTCATAAAAAGATAAAGGTATGTGCACTTCACAATGAATTCTTCCTCTAATGAATAAAAGGCTGTGCAGTGTTTCCCAACCTGAGGAGTTCATCATCTTCCTCTCTGTTATCAGGAAGATCTCCTCCGCAGCCGCCGCCAGCCTCTCGGACACCAGCGCCTTCAGCACCTGCAGTTTACTCATGGTGGACCGGTAACGCGTTTATTTCATGTGAGAGCATTGGGAAAGCTCTCTCTCACACACACACACACACACACTCACACACACTTTACGGGCCACAACAACAAACAACCCAGGTGGAAGAGCTTCCGGGGTCGTTTTCTTCTGTTCCGATATGTTTAAAGTTCAGCGTTTGGTGGCAAAACACCGCCATCCTGTGATCTTAAGTGGTACTACAACCACACACACACACACACACACACACACACACACACACACACACACACACACACACACACACACACACACACACACACACAAACGGTAAGGTCCCAGCAGCGGTGGAAGAAGTACTCCTTTACTTGAGTAAAAGTACCGCAGTGTAAACTATTACATGTACAGGTGCTGCATTGTCTTAAGCAAGTGTCCCAGGGTAAATTTAAGTAATACAATTATTTGTGTATGATATATTAAATTGTTGATGAACAGTTTTGAGTTAGTTACTCAAAAAGAAAAGTATTTCTCATTACTATTTTCAAGTATTATATTACTTTACTAAATAATCTCTGCCAAAAGTAATTAGATACACAACTAGATATATTATCCCCCCAAAAAATGGTAATTGTGCCCCTTCTAACCTAATTTATGAAGATTTAAATCCTGGTTTGTTTGTTAAAATCAAAGCAGTGAAATATTATTATTATTATTATTATTATTATTATTATTATTATATATGTCCTGCTGCTGAATGTAAGTGTTAACATCTTCCAAACTAGTTTCCTCCACAATTACAAAAATGAATCCAAGGATGTGATTGGATTGTTGGATTTCAAAAAGTAACTGTAATATTATTATTAAATGTATATAAGCTACACTACTTGTTAGTTACTGGGGAAGGTAATTTTATTACAGCATGTTACTATTTTAGTTTGTGTGCTTTGGATTCAAATGATAAAGAACATTATTACATGTAGAAGATTGTGAACTTTGGCTGCATTGCACTGATGTGAAACCAGATGAAGAGGAGCTCAACAATCACAGCACTCTGTATGGAAATGAGCCAAAAACATTTCAAATCAGCCAGTGAAATTTGAGTCACGACCAGGGTATTGATCCCAACGTGTGGTGAAACTCACATGTCTCAGTTTCACCCCTGTGGTTGTATCTGTACACACAAAACAACGCTGCAAGATCATGAATGACAAAGTGATGTTTTATTTGTGGAGAATCACAGAATGAATGTGTACTTTTAAAGAAACATAAGTATTTATTTCAAAGTACTAAGTAAAGAAATAAATTCTCACACGCTTCTCATAAATCAGCTTTATGAGCAGCAACAGCAAATACATTTAGGAAAAAAACAGAAATACAATGATGCATAAACATGCAAAAACATGCATATTTTATTAATATCTTAATATAGTTAGTTACACATCCTTTCCTTTGTATAACTTCCCTTACGACAATGGATCAAGAATTAAGGAAAATTATACAATGAAGGGCTGTATAACAAAATTAAAGTTTGTAGTTCCTTCATGCTATACACACAAAGATAATCAAATTAATAGAATAAAATAAAAGATAAATAAAATACATACAAAAAACAATATATACAGTTATATATATATAAATATATACATACACATATACATACACACCCAGGAAATAAAATAACAACAAAGAAGACTATGTTGGCATAAAAAAACAGATGCAGATTCACAGAAAATCCAACTCACTGCAGTCATGTTTATCTAAAGATATAAAGAACTTATTTCACAGCATTCAGTCTCAGTTCATTACGTCTAGTTTTTGTGACACAGCATTGAAAAGTACATCAACGTTTTTTTTTCCCTAACTCTGTGTTCACTGGGGGATGTCACTCTGCAAACCACAAACAGACAAATATTGAATGTCCAGCTTGCACTGATGGCCTTACGTGCCCTGGCTGACACACAGACAGTTGTATGACGTGTGGATCTATGTCATCGCTGTGAGACAGGCTAAAGGCCAGGGCTCTGGTGCCGGGTTAATGATTCATATCTCACTTCGCCAAAATGTCTTTATCTTATGAGGTTATACAACAGCCAAAATGGGACATGGGATTTGTGCAGGAGAACGTGTGTGTGTGTGTGTGTGTGTGTGTGTGTGTGTGTGTGTGTGTGTGTGTGTGTGTGTGTGTGTGGGGTATGGATTTCTGTCACATAACACAGGAAACAGTCTGGGTAGTATGTAGTATCCCTTGTGCATTGTTGTCTCAGTGTACAGTTTTGATGATGACTGCTGAGGTTAGGGTAATGTAAGTGAAATATTACTCTTTTTTGTGCTTATTTTTATACCTCAGCAGAAAACAGAGTGGAAAAAGAAAAAGTAGATGCAAACAAATCTAAACGTAATAAAAAACACTTGATCATTCATTCAAAAATGGTTGCAGCTTTGATCTAATTTGAGTTCTAGAGATACAATTATCAAAACCTAGCCTAATATGTTTCATATGGATATCTTATTATAAACCAACTGCATATCAATTGATTTAAAAGTTGTTCTACAGAAAAGGCTGGAAAAAATATTAATAAGTAGGCCTACAAAGTATTAAATATAAGGTTGATTTTCCAGTAACTAAGCTGATCTGACCATTTTTGACCCCACAGATATTCAATGATATAATGAGCTAAAGAGAGATTCATTTATGTCTCCGGCAAAACAGGTAAACTGCACAATTGCAAAAACTAAAGCATGCTTTTAGTGTATGAGTTTTACTTCATTCAGTTACTTGACAACAACTCAGGTATTGTTCCCAGGAGTTGGACCAGGAGTTGGACCCAGGTCACCTGGGTGAAAGCAGGGAAACCTAACCGCTAGACCCTATGGGATAATTTATGTTTTACTATGAGGGTTGAAGATCCTGTGTGAATTTAAAGGGACAGGTGTTATGAAAACAATGGGAAGTTGGCTAATAAGGTACCATGAGTACTAACCTATTCAAATCTGAATGTACAGACATAATAGACATATTTTTAGATTCATCATCCTTCCCCTAAGAAAACAATATGCAATCTCTCATCTATTTAAACATCCATTCAATCAGGAACTGCTATGTTTGGGAAACTTTTAATGGTGTTAATTTGCCAAATATAGGTGTAAAACAACAGGGCTCAAGTTTTAGCTCACAGGCTTCATGGCAACATTATACTTCCTGCATAGATCCCATAGAACATTACTAACATGATACCTGAAGTACATTTTGCTGATGATACAACTGTTCCTGAGTACTTCAGTACAGTTTTGAATGCAAGGCTTTTACTTCTAATGATGTATTTGTCATTCAGGTACTTTTACTTGAGTATAATACCCCAGCAGTTATTCCACCACTGGGGAGTGGAAGCAAATTGCTGTATGTGACTGAATATAAATAATCATTGTATACAGTCCAGTGTGGTTGCAGTCAAATATGAACCAAGTCATTTAACACATTTTCAAGATTTTTTTTATTAAAAATATTCAAAACAGTTTGAAAAATACTTTCTCTAACATTTAAAATACATTACTATTACAGATGAAACAACATATCAAAGCTGTGAGTGGCTGCTATTGTCTTTAAAGTGAGGTTAAACACAACAACTGCAAGCAAATAGTCACTTGCTACGGTAGACTTGTGTGTTTGTTTGTCCTTTTCCGGGACTCTAAAACAAATGTAATTATCATATTTTCCTGAATTCAAAACTGGTCTTCGTAAGTGCCCCTGAGCACTTTCCTGGATAGTGTTTTCACACAGTGTCACTCAGTGCTCACAGAGTTCAGTGTCCAAATGACACCCCTGACAATTTCCTGCTGTTCTCATAGGCTTTTCCTGAGGATCAGGTGGACATACGAATGCAATAAGCACCAGAAGAAAGTTTTTTTTTTTATGATCTGGAAGAGACTCTGCACTTCCATTTCACGAGTCTGTATAATCTGGGCTCACTGCTCACACTCCCTTTTTGTTCTGCAGGCTCAGAGCTCCGTTCACGCAGTACGGGATGATACTGACAGTGACCAGAGGCACTGTGGCGCTCTTGCAGAAGGACAGCAGGTAGAAGAGAGCTGCCGTGTGCGTGGGAGGCTTGAAGGAGTCAAACAGGTGCAGCAGGACCAGGGAGCTAATGACGCACCCTGCTTTCACCAACGTGCTGCTGCTCTTCTTGGTCTCCGTGTAAAGGGGCGAGTGCAGACCCAGGCCCAGGCCGAACAGGGTACCCATGTTACGCAGGAGGCTGGCGAAGGGCGTGCTGTCCAGGTGGACCCACTCGGGCTTCACGCACCACTTCTGGGCTTTCTCCAGGGTCCACAGCAGGTCCACGCCCAGAGCTTTGAGCAGGAGGTAGAAGCCAACAGCGAAGGAGGTCAAGAAGAGGGTCGTGTAGAAGTATTTCTTCATGCTGGCGTTGTAGATCCACTGAGTTTTGTTGAAGGCTTCAGCCACAATCATACCTAGAATCCATTGAAACGCTCAGGTCAATATTATGTTATATATAACAACACAGCCATGACAATTTACCCTTCCAAAGCCCCGCCCCTTTTAGGTCTGTGGTCCAGTAACAGTTGAGTGAGTCATCTTCTTAATCTACATGAATCGTTAGCTAGCAAGTTAGCTTTATTTGACTGATGTAGATTAGTAGCTAGCTATCCATTTGACCCGGGAAGTTGGAATTCTAGTCGGAAATTTTAACTAAAGCGTCCCCTGAAGTCAGATTTCCGGAGGTCGGAAGAACCTCACCAACCGCGACCTCATAATCCAAGATGGCTGCTCCACGTGAAAGCTGTAGTAATAATACTAGCACTTTGGTCTTAGTCTTAACAGTCACAGTCTGAATAAGCGTTAGAACTGATTGACTAACCATGGCTAACCAAGGAGCTTGGTTTTCTGACTTGTACTGTAAGTTAAGGTCAAACTGTTTTTGTACGTTCTTTATGGGGTATACTGACCTGTGATAACACCAGCAATGACCTGGTGGGGGAAGTGGGCGGCGATGAAGACCCTGGAGAGACAGACACACACCTGGACTCCCCAAAACAGCGTCCACAAGCCAGCCTTCAGATACCTTTCAAAATACAAAATCAGACATCTTGGATTATTTTATTTTGAAACAGGCAAAACTGAAAGTGCAACACTTGAGCTTCAAATCAGGCTGGCCTTCGCTATTGCCATCACCCACAACAGGCAAGTCAATCTGTTTTTTTTTGCTGCCTGGACATCAAAACAACCTGTGTATAATCCCTATTTCTGGCCAATAGTCAATGATCAACCACAGCACAGGACAGATAGTGTGTCCACAGCGATAAGCTCTGGATGGAAAATGGTAAACAACACTGACACAAGTGTGGACCAGAGAGTAAACATGTACTGACTCAGACTACACAGATGAGTTCAGTGACTCACCAGTCCTTGTTGGTGGATTTCTTGCTTCCATATTTCTTCTTGCTGGTCATGATGGCGAGGATGGAGGTCACCAGGGTGTAGTAGACACCGGCGGCTCCCATAGCATGGCCAGAGGGACTGCCTGGATAACACAGACAGAGTGGGTGGATATTAGTGGCTGATTCACTCGAGGAGAACAATGACTGCATTGTTCATTTGTTGTACAATCAATCAAGTACTGCACTTACATACAACACTGTAAGTTAAATGGATTACATCAAAACTTTTAAGTACCACAAACTCAATTTTGTTAGTAATTTCTTGATTAAGTAGGCATACTCTTTATTAGGTATTTTGTTTTCACAGTACAAATAAAAATTACACATTTGAAGTCATTGTCACTTAAATTTACTAAAGCTATTTGATCAAGAATGTGTTTTTTAACTTAATAAATTAAGTTAGTTTTACCTAAATTTTCGATGTAATCAGTTTATACCATTTTATGAGTTAAATGAACTTGTCTGGTTTTACAATGAATATTGATGTACTTGAGTATTTTTATTTAATGCTACTTTATATTTTGTACTTCGCCACATTTCAGAGGGAAATATTGCTCTTTGAACTCCATTACATGTATTTGACGGTTTTAGTTAATAGTTATTTTCAAATTGAGATTTTTCCTTTAAAATCATATTAAGCTTTTAAAATACAACATTTACAAATAAACAGTGTTTAGTTGGAGCCCCTTGTCACAGGTTTCAGTTAGCAGTTCCACCAAATGATGATTTCCCCTATAAGCCTTTACATTTTGATGATACTAAACATGCACTGTAGAATGTGTAAAAGTGCACTAAAGCATGTGTATACATACTTTAGTGCACTTTTGAATGCATGACTGAATATTGTATTTTTACATTGTTTCAGGTTTTAAGTACAACTTTCACCACTGTTAAAGATAACCTGTGCGTAATTACAAAGCTGGATTACAAACTTCCTGTTCCCTTCTTGGCAATTTAATTCATTGCAATTTAGTTTGGGATTATGGGGATATGCACCATTGGTCCTGCTTTATTACTTGATCTTGAGGTCCTGGGTCAAAAACTAGCTCGAAGACCTTTAATTTTGCAGCCGATATTGCACCCACATAATTAAACTGATTTGCGTTCAATCAAATGATGACACAGTAAACCAGGGGCCATATAATACCCCAGTAACAATTTGTATGGGATGCACAGATGCCTAGTATTTCTCACCTGGCCCAGTCTCACAGGTCATGGGGTATTGCTCAATGTGAGGAGGAACAGTGTTTGCATAATGAGCTGCCTCATGGACCCACCAGTAAGGCCTCTCCCCAAACAGAATCCTGAAGAAGACAACAGAAACATGCACTTGGTTATTGTCTAGTTTGTTTTCATGTGGCTTTGCTCAAGAACTTGTAATTCAAAGATTTACTCGACTCACCATTTGAACACCAAGTTCAGCCAGTCTCCGATCACTGCCACCCAGATGAGCTTAATGCCCACTGAAGACCGCAGGTGAAACCAAAGTGGGAAGAAGATGAAGAAGGTGTTCCTGAGGTCTGCCGCCCAGGAGACCCAGAGAAACAAGCCTTGGGCATCCTGATAGTTGGTCTGCAGGTAGTGGGTGGTGCTCACCCCAAAACCCTGCATGGCGTCCATTATAGCATTCATCTTAGCAAGAGAGAGAGAGGTATCTCAGTCTGGTGATGTGTGAGTGAGTGACAAAAAGACTGTTGCTATCAGTAACACAGCTGGTTGGTTTTATACCAGAGGGACCCACTACCCAAACGCATGCTCGCGCTGATCTTTGGACCTTGCACATGTGTAATAAAACACTGGGAGTCCGTAGAGTTTTAGAGGTTTGTCACACAAACAAGTTGAAAAGATAGCGGGAAAAGAAAGCCTCACTCATCTTTATCTTTGTCTCTGAACTACGTAGCACAGAGAGGAAGTCAATGGACCAATGGCTAAATTTCACAATTGTGACATAAATGATCACAAGCAAAGCAGCAGTTGGCAGAGTTACATTTGCTTTCATTAAACTCCAAATTATTTTAATATCAGCTATTCATTTCTTAAAACAAATAACATACTTGGAGTACTTTTATAGTGCTTAGGTTGAGGCTAAAACTGACTATGGTGATATTTCTTTCACATTATTTTTTTCCCTTTTATGAAAGCTCAGAAAGGCAAGTGTTTTTTTTTTCTCAAGTTTTTCCTTATTTGAGTTATTTTCAAGCTTGAAAACAGGTGAAAAAATTCTGCTTTAAAGGCAGTTTTTCACCGATGGAAAAAAAATTGTTAGAAAAAAGAACATGAATGATCACAATCTATGTATGTACCCATTCATGCAGCCACTGAGTAATAATTTGTCAGTTATGTAATTGTGTTTTTGATGATTTGGTGAAAAAACATCTCGCAGGTGGAGGTAGTGTGAGTTACATAAGGAGATCAATGATTAAATTATTGGGTTTGGACTGAGTTGAAGCTGAGGAGATAGTCGGTGATAAAACAGAAAAAGGTTGTAGGTCGTGTACAAGTTACTGCTCTGTCATGACAAACAGGGCTGGCAGTGAAGCTCAAGATGAGCTCAGTTTATCTTTATGTATTGAGACACATGTACAAATAGTCTGCAAATAAGTATAATGTCCACATTAAAAGTTCAAGAATCTCTGAATATGCAAATTTTGTTCATTTCTAAAGTTTTCCTGCTGGACACAAGATCTCTCCTCCTTCACTGTAAAGTCCATTCTCAGTGTCTGTGCACTGGTGGATCACACTTGTGGAAGTTGCATATTGGACCAGGGTTGACTTCCAAACTATTTGTGATGTCACAAATCTCATTCATAGGCCCCACCCCTTTAAAATCAGATTTTCAATGAGTGCAGAGAACCTTCCACTTTCAGCAGATGAATGTGAAAACATCCTTCTAGTGTCAAACTCTGCACATACATCATTCTGCATCCAGCTCTAGGAACAAGAAGAAAAAAAGATTTTTGAGTGGAGGGGGGACTTAAATGATGCACTCTACAATATCAATGGCACACAGAGGATCAATTGTGAGCCAAGATCAATGGATTTCACAAGCTAACTGGCTGGAACTCAAAACAGACTTCATTTTTGTTGATCAGAGGAAGAAAAAAAAGGTTTTCCTAGAAATCTGTGATCTGTAAGAGGGGCAGCAGCTGAATTCTGTAATGATGGACTTAAGCAGAGGGGGCCTCAGGGGTGTAAAGGTTAAGGAACCTGTCTGCCAAAGGCAAACAAATTTGCTAGCCTTGAGTAAAGTCCACTGGGGCTCACACAGTGGAGGTGACAAAAAAGACAAATCATCCCAGAATCAGAGCACCGTCCTCGGGCAGGCAGAGGTTGTGTTATCATGGATCTTCTCCACAGTTGGGGGGTTGAACTGGCGGTTCATCTGCAGACCAAATACAGCAGGTATGAGGGCTTGTTTGGCCTGGCGTCCACTGTGGCCGATCTGCACACCACGTTCTTCTGCTTCTTCCCAATCTGGTTCCACCTGCGGAGGGACACCGGGCTCAGGCTCATCTGGGTGGCTGTCCTCGGAGATTGGCTCAACTTGGTCCTGAAATGGTAACCTCCTCGAATCAATCCAAACACATAAATAGAGAGAGAGAGAGAGGTTGTATTTTGTGTTTCTTGGTCTTTCGATGGCAGGGTTCTGTTTGGGGAAAGACCCTACTGGTGGGTTCATGAGACCCGGTTTTATGGAGCTGGACCGGTCCCGTCTCTGCAGCAGTTTCCCATCACTTGTGAGACTGGACCAGGTACAGTAGATGACAGACCTGATCACATGATGATTGTATAGTAGAATGACTTACTTGGCACAGTGACCTATCAGCCTGGTTAATACTTAAGTGCATCAATGCCAGATAATATCTGTAGCGTCTGGCAAGTGAACATGGCTTTCTTGAATGAATATCATCTCAATAATGTGATAACTAGGTTATAAACTCCAGTACCTTTAGCCTTTTGTAGTGTTTTTTATCTTTTAATCTGTGTAAAGAAATTTGAGTCTGTATTATACAATGTCTCCTTTTTGTCAATGGTTGTCAAAGTACATTTACTCAAGTGCTGCACTAAAGTATACATTTTAATCCTCTACATTTCAGATGGAAAAAAGATTTGATATACAAAATATGTGAAGAACTCATAAACATAACATAAAATATGATGCATTGTTATAGATTAAATATGTCAAGGACCCCCACAATAGATTGGACCACAGACACCAAATTTGAGAGCAAAGTAGTTAATAGTTAAAGAGAAGCTGCACCAACCATCTGAAAAATAAAATCCTGCTTTTACATTAATGCATTACCAATAGTAAACCAATGATATAATATATATAATATATTACACTAAAACAGTCCCAGGGGACATTAACTGCACATACTTTTACAGTGTGGTACTGGTACTTTTAATTTAGAAAAGGATCTTAATATTTCATCCACCACAGCATACAGGTTTGTTTAAATGACATATAGAGTACTTGCAGGTGAAAGCAATGCTTATTGCAGAAAGGTAAAGTAAATACAAGTTGACTGCTGTAAATGTGATTTCAGTGGATTTCTTTAAACTTTACTCACTCTAAAATGGGATATTATAACCACAATAAATCTGTACTGCAAATGATTTGACCTTGACCTATTGCTTTGAAATTGCATCTCTGAAGATGAAGCTGTATTTGATAAACCTAGAGTCTGTTCCTTGCAGGAAGCCCTTCAGGTCATGCTATGGGTGCAGCTGGTGTCTGGTATGTGATGGTAACAGCGCTGCTCTCTATTGCAACAGAGAAGCGATGCCCCCCTTTACTGTACAGGTGAATCTGTGGTAAAACAACCAATTAATGCCTTTGAAAACTGGCCCTTACATGACACACTCTGAACCTTATGCACTCATATTCAGTATTCACCCTCTGTTAGATTCTTGCAGCTAGGCCTGTGGATGCTAATGGGTCTGGTAGAGCTGGTGGTCTGCATGTCCAGGGTCTACATGGCTGCCCACTTCCCACATCAGGTCATTGCTGGAGTCATTACAGGTTGGTCTTCCCAAATAATTTAAGGTTGATTCATTTTGTAGTGATAGAAGTTTGGTTTCTACAAGATTTAAGATTTGCAGTATATCTGGCTATTCGGAGAACATTTTGAGTTAGTCTGTGGATGTGGTCTGTCTCAGGTGTACTTGTAGCTGAGGTGGTCTCAAAGGAGAAAGGGATCTACAATGCCAGCATGAAGAAATACTTCTACACAACCCTCTTCTTGACCTCCTTCGCTGTTGGCTTCTACCTCCTGCTCAAAGCTCTGGGCGTGGACCTGCTGTGGACCCTGGAGAAAGCCCAGAAATGGTGCGTGAAGCCCGAGTGGGTCCACCTGGACAGCACGCCCTTCGCCAGCCTCCTGCGTAACATGGGTACCCTGTTGGGCCTGGGTCTGGGTCTGCACTCGCCCCTTTACACAGAGACCAAGAAGACGAAAACAAGCACCAGTTTCAAACTTGGATGTATTGTCGTCTCCTTATTTCTGCTTCAGCTGCTGGACGGATGGACATTTTCTTCTGAAAATCTTGTGACTTTCTACTTCCTGTCATTTGGTAAAAGTGTGGTTGCACTTTTAATCCCAACCACTCTGGTTCCGTGGGCTTTCTGCTGGATTTGCAAGGAGAAGAAAGAAGACAAGAACTTGTGATTCAGGTCCAACCTGTAGTTTCAACTCAATTACTAGTTTAATTTCCATGTTTAAGACACAAGGACATTTAATGTCACAACATTGTTCCTGAAGTTATTGCGCTTGCCTGAATATCAGTTCCTTAAAGGAATATGTACTGTAGTCTGACATTTTGGTAAATAGCCTGTTAGCTTAGTTTAAATGTTAGTTTAACCAACCAGCACTTGTAAAACACAGCGCTATTTCTTGGCCATGGGCATTGACTTCCCTGCAGTCTCAGCTGAATGCCTGGCAACGTCACAGTAAAACCACAGATCCTTTGTACACCTAAACAAATAAGATATATTTATTAGTGAGCTTTAGAGGTGTTCTAAACAGATGTAGTTACTTTTAGACAAAGCCAGGCTAGCTTTTCCCACCTGTTTCCAGTCTTTGTGCTAAGCTAGGCTAACCGCCTCCTGGCTCAGGCTCCATACTTAATGCACTGATATAAAAGTGGTCCGGGAATCAAATTATAGTTGTTTATTTTTGTCTGTATTTGGCCTTCAAGGTCTCTCATTGTTGTCATGTATACAAATATACACACAGCTTCAGCTTATTAATGCATAAATGGATGAAGAATATTGCGAGCAATTTCAATAAAAACAGTTTTTATAACCATTTGCTTTCTATAAAGAATCGTGTTTATTTTAGTGGTTATTTAAGCGCTGTGTTTCCCTATCAGGTTTCTCAGAATGTCTCAGACTGATACTGATTAATTCTCTGGCAGGAACAACCATTAAATATTAACCAGAGCATGCTCCTGTCACTCGGCAGTCCCACATAGTGACACTGCCTTTCACCACAGCCATGAGCTTTCAAAAGAGACATGGAGGGTCAAGGGGCAGAATGCGTTACAGACAACACGTGTGTCCTTTAAGGCTCTAAAAGTAGTACAGGCGATATATCAAAGGAACTTCGGATGTGTGGTACTGAGATCAGCAGGATTGCAGAGAGAGACACACCTCTGCAATTCTGCTAATTAGATTATAAAATAATTTTGTAATTTGCAGCTGAGTGTCACCTGAAGTCACTGAAAACATTTTGTTTTAACTTAAAAATGTGTCTTTATATGTTCTTTGAGATCATCTTATTTTACACATGAAAACATAGTTAATCCCAATTGTACACAACACAGTAGACAGACTGAAAGTGAGAGGGAAATGTGAGCCCGCTTCTGATGACCGTCTCCCCTTTAACCATCTTATCTCTGACGGCCCTCTTAACTCTTTTCCTGTGTTTATCTCATGAAGCCATATCTATATGATGCTGCTCTGTATGGGCAGGCTGCATTGTGGGAGACAGACGGAGGAGAGGAAAGGGAGGGGAAAGTCAGCAGGGACAGACACTACAGGAGCACGGACCAACAATGATTACATCACTTAATATTTAGTTGTTTTTCTCAGTTCTGTCCAGAGAGTTAGAAAGCATGTCAGATATAGTCTGTAAGTCAGTATTTATTTTCATTTTAGTCTGCACAGAAATGATGACGGACTGACTGAAGAGGCAAATTGGACAAAATGGGCCAAAAGTTACCGTGTACATGGTGAATTGTTTTGCAGATGACTAACATCCAACTAGAACAAATAGAGTATTTACAGCCCTACTTTCAGCAATAACAAAATAAAGAAATAAAGCTGTATTGGTAATGGACTATAAGCATGTTCAGTTTCCTTGACAGACTTATTTATGATGCATCTTTACTACAAAGAGCACTGTGCAGAAGGTGCAGTACCACAGTATAGAAATACTCTTAGTTACAAGTATTTCTTCATTCAAAATCAAATAAAAGTTAAGCATTTAAATATACTCAAAAGTAAGAGTACTTATCATGCAGAATGTGTCAAGACCATAATAATGCCATTAACAGTCAGTAGAATAAATTGTAATCTGACTTTCTGGGGATTTGTTAAACAATTCAAACATTTGAATTTGTTTTCTTCTCTATGCAGTAAGATAAATGTGCATTTTGTGCTAAATTAACAACTAACTTAATTTTCAACTATCAAATATATCTGAATATCTTCTATTTTTTTTGTTCAGTGTAGTGATTTCTTCCTTTGTGCTGATAAGCAGTAGTGGTAAATGCCACAGTGACATCTGCAGACCAAAAGGAAACATAACCACCCAAAGCTTCCTTCCCTCAATGGTTATTTTACTGTGCCTTAGCATACAGGCATGCATACAGATGTGTGAATGAGCATCTCCATAGGTGCATACAAACCCTTTATCTGATATCCAATAAGCAATTTGGGCAAACACAAAAATGTCAAAAGGAAATTCAAAATCTCTTATCAAAAATGTTTTATTCAATAGAATCAATGCCTCAACATAAGAGATGCTTTGGTGACTTATGAATTTTCACTGAAAACCAATAAGCCTGTGGACCTAAAACCTGCTTAGCTTTCATATTTGTTACGACTGAACTGTGTATGTATAACATTCGGAGAAACAAACAAACTGATTTTGTGTTGCGTATCCTATAAACGACCATCCTCCAGATGTAGCAGGAGTCAAACGTAAGACTTAAATAAAATAATAAAAAAAGAAGAGTAAACATTCAGTGAAGCAGTGGGTGGGAAACAAACCACTTTGCTCTGAATTTGTCTTAAGAGCTATAAATGAAGCAATTTCACAAAGATCTGAGGACGAAATGTTTAATTAAAATTAAAAAATACATAGCGCTTTTTGTTGTCTATGATCTATCTCCCCATTTTCTGAGAGAATATTTATGTCTTCAAAGGGTTTAAAACAAAAAAAATATCTTACATTTAAAACAAAAACATGTGCGTTGTGTCCTATGGAAGCTATGTTTCTGTACTGGGCTGACTTGATTGTACTGAAGTAGGTGAATGTCGTAGTCCTGTGGACCAGGGCCAGGCTACTGTAGCTGGACAGGCATGGCAGGGAGACAGGGGGGTGGAGATGGGAGGTGGAGGCTGAGGCTGAGATGGCTGGATGAAAATCAGTACAGTGCATCAGCATTACTGCTTCGTGGCCTCTTGATCTTCTCAATGTTCTTCAGGATCATGTCGTGTAACGTTACCTTCACAGAAAAAAAAAAACAATACTTTCATTAAGCTGTCAGGTGTATGCCGCTATAAAATAAACTTTAAATGGAGAGTGCATCAATACGTACATATTGATTTCGGAGCTCTGAAACTATGATCTTCAGACTGATGTATTCCTTCTCATCAATCTCGGTTACTGTGCGCCGATAGTCCTCCTAATAAAAAGAGTTAAATGTATTTGATATACTCTCACAGTGAAAATCAAAAAAGGTCCACACAACTTTTTATTTACATTTCTGCTTTGTGGTCTGAAAAGACCAAATTAAAAAAAAGGTCCAGTGTGTAGGATTTAGTGGCATTTACCCGTGTAGTTTCTAAAACCAATTTTTGGTTTGCCCATTCGGCGGTGTCTGTAGATAAAACCGGCTCATTCTTAGGTAACAAAAACACAAGGATTCTTATTTTCTGGTGATTATACACTAATGAAAACATACCTATGAATAGTATGTTCCATTTCTGCCAATGGATTCTCCTAAATGTTACACACTGGACTTTTAAAGTTCATGAAACCACACAGGGAAGCACAGAATCAGCACGTCATCAGTATCAGATGATAAAGCCTCTCAAATGAAACATTGGCATCTTCAATTCTCCCAATAGGACAGACAGATATAAGATAGCTCTTGAATTCTGCCGTTAACTGGGCTAAATGCTATATGCAGTGTCGCCCAGCACAAGGGAGATATTCACCACGTCTGTGAGCATAAAGGAGGGACGAGTATGTCTGAGGTGTGGAGGTCTTTTCCATCCATCACTACTCAAAGAAAACTTAAAATGTTGTGTAGACTGTTTGATATCCACTGTATTTTGCATTTTGTTCTCTCAGCACCTTCTGCTTTAATTCTTTAGATAATATTCACTTACCACGTGTGGATATTTAGCTATTTTAGAAACCAGCTTTGCCCTTGTGATGTAGTATCTAGAAGTAAAGAAGACAGACAAAATGTCGGCTCTGACAGGTAAACTTGCAAAGCAACGCAGAACCAATCTTGTAAATTATAAATAAAATACACAAACAAGTAAACAAATATTGGGAAAAAAGCAAAGCGATCTGACGAGGCACCAGTTTCATGCCTCATAGCGTATTACGTACAATATGGCTTGGACTAACCTTGATATCTGGTCGAGGTAAGAGGCTGCCTCCCCTTCAACTGTTCTGAGCTCAGCTACTGTCTCCTCCTGGATGGACACCCCAAAGTTGTTGCCATCCTCTATCCTGGGGATAAGCAGCTGAACCCACATTTTGACCTGCAGAAGAAAAGAAAACGGCTAAGAAAAAAGACAATGCAACATCTGGGACGCTATCAGTGAAGTCAAGATGTACTGAAGTCATATCACTGTCACTGGCCTGGGAAAGGAAGCTCGAGAAACACGAGACCTCGATGAATTCCTGTGTTTGAGCATCATATCTTAAAGCTAGAAAACTAGTCACACTTGTTCTCCCCATAAATCGTTTCATCAATAAATAATCTTTAGCCCAACACATATTTTACACATTTCCAGCTGCAATGCTACAGTTCATGTAGGCAGTAATGTCGGATTACTGCTGTCAACCCTGAAGTCAGATAAACCACTGGTGTGTGTGTGTGTGTGTGTGTGTGTGTGTGTGTGTGTGTGTGTGTGTGTGTGTGTGTGTGTGTGGGGCCCTTGGTTAAAAGACATTACTTACTGTGTTACATTTCTCTATGAGTGTCCTGATCTCTGGTTTGACCTTTTCAATGAGATCGACAAGGTTTCCGTTGCTCTTCATCATTCCACCGGGCATGACAAAGACCTTGGTGCCAGTCACTGGGTGACACGGAAAAAAGGAAAAAAAAGGAGGGTAAAAGAATGATTGACTGATGTGTGTGTGTGATATATATATATATATATATATATATATATATATATATATATATATATATATATAGATAGCCATAGGAAATATTGTATGGCATCCTCTGTCAGTCATAGCCAGACTTAAGGATGCTGTAATTGAAAGCACAGTGATTCCAATTCACATAAATACTCTTGATTGTGGGACTTATTTAAAATTAGACCTGTCAATCCAGAGAAAATACTACGAGTCTATAACTTTAAATCTACTTAAACTACTTGTCCTGAGTCTTAAACTCACCCGCGTCCTCCCCTCCATCCTCCAGCTTTCGCTTTTTGGCATTTTGCTGTGAAACAGATGAAACAGGATTATCATTATTATTATTATTATTAGAATTATTATGATTATCAGCAGCAGCAGCGGCACTTGCGCTGACAATTTAATTCAAATCTAAAAAAAGAAGTCTCACCGCTTCTAGTCCGTCATGCAGGTTTGAGAGCAGGATGGGGTCTGGCACCGTCAGGTTTATCTCAGAGTGGATCTCCTTCAGTTCAGTGATGTTTATGATGGGATCCTGAAAAACAACAAGCTGACACTAGATGAGCTATTTTTTATTTATGAATTATGTTCTGTGCGAGATAAGGTGATATGAGACTTTGCAAATTTGATAGTTCACTGGGTCTGTGTGACTTGTGGGGAACGTTGCAAACCAACTACTTCATGGTAGTACTGGATTTTACATGATGATGTTTGCATCCGTGCGATGAATACATTGATTGTCAGCCATTTGATTTGATGGATTAGACCAAAAACATTTATGGTCATCTAACCAATAAACAATCTCACAACGTAGTAGAGTTGTTAGTTGAACGAACACGCGACTGACCTTAAGGAAGTGATCAAGCTCCAGTAACTTCTTTGGGAAAAAATTCGCAACTAGATCCTCTGCCTGAAAGAAATGTTTTTAAGTTGAGTATTTTGATAGCTAATCGTGAAAACAGTGATAACAATACATGTTTTTTTTTTTTAAAAAAACTGATACTTACTTCTGAAGTGATACGTTCCCTGAAAGCATCAACCTGCAAAACACATAAGAAAAGAGTGCACACATCAGACTGCTGCTAACCACATGCAAAACATCTCATTTTCCTTGCTAAACGCGGCAGCGGGGTAAAGTTTCATTAACCTTTTAAAAGTGGGTTTATTTATTTAGTTATCTCCACGTCCTCTGTAAATGTGACTGCTGCATCAGTAGAAGAGCTAAAAGCTGTACCAGTAGATAACATGACGCAGGTATTACAATGGTACAGTTGGCTAACTTGGAAGCTAAGGCCTTTTTTTTTTTTTTTTCTAGTGCATGTGGTCCTCCAGCAGTAGCAGCTCACACACACACACACACACACACACACACACACACCTTTCCCCTCTACTCCTCGTGAAGCTCAACGTCACCGTGACACTACACCTGAACACGGTCTCGACAGGTGTACTGCAACAGGCGGGAAACCAGCCGGTTAGCCGCCGCTAGCTGCTACTAGCCCGGCCTCATCAGAGCTCTCACATCATGCTACACAACGTGGCTAACACGCTAGCACGCAAATGGCAACAACAACACGTCTGTTAAACGGAGTCCCCCCCCCCAAAAAAAGACAGAGCTCACCTTTGTTTTAATTTCATTGTCCACCTTGAGGAGTGAAGACATCTTATGTGATCAAAAGAGACGCAGAACGATTGTCCCCGGCAGCATTAAATTCACTTGTCAACGTGTGGCTTATTACTTGTCAGCCACACTTTTGTGAGCTTAAAGATGACGCCTTGGACACGCGACACGCGGCGCTATGTGGGTTTTGACTGCGCGTGCGCGAAACGTCACCGTATTTTTCTAGACGCAGCTGACGATGTAAACAAGAAAAGACAAGTCGAGGGCAACAGGGATCAAACAGGGCCGGTGTCACCGCACATGATAGCCATTGTACAGTCATAAACGGCGGACATGGGGCTGCCTGTTACTATTAAAGTGAATTTTCGGGGGAATGTGAAGAGGTTTCTGGCTCAGGATTTGGACAAATTGGAGTGGGACTCCGTTGAAGCCTGGGTAAGCTGCTAGCAGAGCGTTGTTGGCTAAAAACGCTGGCGCAGTTTGGTGAAAAGTAGGCCCAGACGTGGCCTAGACCCGTAAACAATAGAGCACCTGAAGGACAGTCGGTGCTGTTGCGGGTGGATGTGTACATAAGTGGTTATTTGTACGCCAGCGAGTGCGTGAGAGGAAACGCGGAGGGGAAGGTGAAATGTGCTCTGTTTGCTGTAATGCGTTTGTGTCAGTAGCTTAGCTGTGTAGAGGTGTTTCCATTATTGATGTTTTTTCATAACACGTGTGGTGGGAAGAAAAGTTCTGGTTTATTAAGGTGAGCTTCGCTGTGGTTTTGATCTCGATTCTTTTATTTTTTTTTTTTTGAATTGTGTTTCAGATCAAAGCGTCTTTCGGGATCAACCACTTTCAGGTGAAATACTTTGATGAGGACAATGAAGAGGTAAGGGAGTGTGTGTGAATGTGTGCGCTGCTGGTGGTGGTGTTATGTTCAGGACAGCATTATGATGATGTTTTGGTTGGGGCCAAAGTTCATTGACTCATTCTGAGCTTATTCACTTTGTTTTTCCAGATTTGCATAAACAGTCAAGGTGAGAAAAATACTTTTATCTTAATTTTTTATGATGATTTTGAAGTAAATAACAAACATGTGACGTAAATATTAAAGAATAACTGCAGAATATAGAAATGTTAATTGGTTACTCAATTGTCCAAACAACTTATTGATGATTTGTTTTATTCCAGATGAATATGAAGAAGCCATCAAGGTACTGCGGCACTGCTGGATTTCTGTAAAATAGTGAATACAGGATTCAATTTAACAACACATAACATCAAGTCATTGTGATATTACAGAAGGAAAAGTGCAGAATATGGGACATTTTTATCAAACATTGTACTGGAAATATTCAGTCAACCTTCACTTCATACATTTCTGATAATTACTCTCTACTTACATGACAAAAAATGCATTATATAGACATAATATACATAAGCACATTACAAATATGTACTTGTTCCAGTTAACTGGAGCTGCATTCAAAATATCTGTACAGATACACCAAGGAGAACAACCAGCAAGTCATATGATATTACAATGTTTCATTGTTTTCTGATAATGTCACACGTGTTTTTGACTTTTTGCATATTTGTGAGTCGGTCTCCTGTGGTATGTTTTCCATGCTTATGTTTTTCCCGAACAGAGTGCCGAGAAGCAGGGGAACCAGTTGCACATGAACGTATACAAGATGAAAGGACAGGCCTGTGGAGGCCCGCTGAAGACCGAGGTGAAGGAGCTGAAAGGGGACCTCCGGCCTGCACCTCCTTATCCATCCAGGGTCAAAACAGTGGACAAAGGCACACAGGTCACCCCGGAGAGAGAAGCTGTAAGGACCCAAATGGACTCTCCTCTTTCTTCACTTTCTTTCTCTTCTTATACACTCTCACGTATGCAGTGTTTACAGTGTTCTCGTACCACATCTTAAACACATTCTTATATATATCTTAGATATAATTTGATGTAGTTGTTGCCATAAGGTCAGATAACAGTCTTTCACTGCCTGTGCATTTATCTAGCAGTCAGTTTGTGTCTAATTATTTAAATCAAACTCAAATATTTGTATTTAAAAGTGACTTAATTGGGCTAAGCATAGGTTTGATGTAAGTCTGATGTATTTGGATACAGGTCACAGTAAAGGACACCAAGGGGAACAAACCAGAAGATGAGCCACCTCCCATGTGGTTCAGATCATACATGGAGAAGGTAAATAAAAAAAAAAAACAATCTGTGTAATTTCTCTGATTGTCTCTGAATGAAAGGTTGTATTAACTTCTACTAACATAAATCAAACTCTTTCTGTTTTCATAGTTTAAAGACGAGGTGGTGAAAGAGGTAGTGGAAAGGATGTGCAGTGACTTTTCTGGCCAGTGTTGTACCCACAAGACATCTGACGGGCCCCTTGAGGCCAGCGGGGCTACTGGCGGCCCTATAGGGCCCAGGCCGGGCCCCTCCACCTCGAATGGGTCCCTAGGCTATACCCCAAACTGCAGCAGCTGCAACAAACTCACCTCTGAAGGGGCCTACAAGTGCAGGTATGCATAGGACACATTCTAATATTATAATAATGATGATGATGATGATGATAATGATGATAATGATAATAACTTTATTTGTGTAGCACTTATATAAACAAGGTCACAAAGTACTTGACAAAATACATTAGAATGAAAAAAAATATTATATAAGTAACAATACTATGAGAATAAAATAAAATAGAACAACACAAACATTTTCAAGGCAGGCATCACAACGGCTTTCTTGTAAATATATGTTTTAAGCAAAGATTTAATAGCAGGTAATGTACTGTCAAGCCTCATCTCCTTAGGCAGCGAATTCCAGGGCCTAGAGGTCCTAATGGCAAAAGCCCAGTCACCCTTAGTCACCAGCCTTGACCTAGGGACTACCAGTAAGGGTAGCCTAGAGGATCTAAGGTTATTACTTGGAGCCTAGGGAGTCAAGAGCTCTTTAATATAGCTGGGGGCTAGATGTTGGGCCTTTTAAAAGTTATTAAAAGAATCTTTTGATCAATCCTTAACTGAACTAGCAACCAGTGAATGGAGGGGAGAATTGGAGCGACATGTGACCTATGATTGTTGTTTGTTAAAATTCGATCAGCAGCATTCTGCACTGGCTGATGCCAAGCCACTGAGGATTTACTTAGGCATGTAAACAGTGCAATTCCAATAGTCCAGGCATGAGAAAACAAAGGCATGAATAAGCCTTTCAAAGTCAGGAAAACACAAAAAAAATTTATTTTGGTAATGTTTGTTAGTGGAAGTAGCAGGATTAAATGAGATTGTTGACATGTGGTTTGAAATTCAGTTGAAAGTCAAAAGTGATGCCTAGATTTCTGGCTGAAGATTTTATATTGGTTGCCAGTCGACCAATGAACAGTTAGCTGATTAGGACCAAAGATTATTCTTCTATAAGAAATATAGGTTAAGGAAAAATTGGTACCTAAGTGACTTATGTAAGAGGGTTTTAGCTCCTTTAGTGCTTTTATGGGTTTTTTTTCTTTGTCTATGACTGTCTTTTTCCTTCATGTTCTGTGTTCTTTAATCATCTTTATGAGAATCCATACTGATGTTGGCGTTTCCCCTGTTAGTGTGTGCCCGTCCTGCATCCTGTGTGAGATGTGCAGACATAGCCATGACCCCAGCCACAACCTTGTGAGAACCAAGACACCTCTCTCCATCCCTGAGCATGGAATGTCGGGAGAGTTGAGGTAAACCCCCAAGACTGAGGATAAATCTTCCCACGTCTGGAAACACTAGGACATTTTAACTTACAACAGTGCTATCCCTGATATGCTATCACTTCTTCTGCAGTACATTAATGGAGGAAAACATGAATATGAATAGATGCAAAGCAGCAAATGCAAAAATGTTTTAGCAGCTAGAATTGATGTAAACAATGAATTGTGTGTGTATGTGTTTTGTTCTTGGAAAATAAACTTTTGATAGTCAACAAATAGGTGTTCCTGATGACATTTCAAACCAGGTTCCCAAGGCGAGGAGACAGGACAGTGCGCAAGGCCGAGCGACAGCGCCTCAAAGCTGAAAGGAGGCAGCTAAGAGCTGAAGTGAAGGAAATCAAGAAGAAACTGAGACTGGAGAAGAGGGGGCTGCAGTGGAGTGGGCCCTCTACCTCAGGCAGAGCCAACCTGACAAACATGACCTCCGCGTCCACCCAGGTCCCAGCCCTGCCCCCCCCTGCTGCCTCAGAAACAGCCTCAGGTCCAGCCCCAGCCCAAGGTCCCATCTCTGCCCCGGTCCCTGATCCCCAGGCCTCCAGTCCAGAGTAAGCGCCACCTCGGAAGGGCGTCCGACAGTGCTGGGTACCTCTAACCCAGCATGGATGCAATAAAGTCTTTTTCCAAGAAAAGAAATCAAAATATGCCATCTTTGTAATCTAGTCTGTATGAGTGTATCGCTGGCTGCTCTGGGGTTGTGGAAAATGTTGGAACTACCTCAATGTGAAAACTGCTGCTGCTGCTTCATAGATTTTCTAAGAAAAATTGCTTTTGAGCTGCAAAAAAAAAAAAAAAATCTGGGGTCCTGCTTTTTTGATTCGTAGAGAACAAAAGAGATGGGTATTATAAGAAACCAGGGCCATTTTCAACAATGCTCTGTACACTTGAAACTAGGGGTCCCGGGGTCTCGCACACGTCCTTGGTGCCAACTATGGCTGCCTTGTTTCTGGATGAAAATCTGCCGGATGGCACCCGTCTGAAGCCTGGTACCAAGTTCATCAAATACTGGAAGATGAGGAACTCGGGCACTATCAGCTGGACCTCAGAGACTAAGGTACCCCCCCCCACCCTTCGAGAGGACAGGCTCCACTCTCTCTTTGCTCCCCTGCTTCACTTCCACTTTGAGTCCCCACTCAGCTCATTGTCTACTTCTTATCCACTAACACTAGCTAATTTCTTACCCAGCCTAATACAACTAATGCCCTTTCTGTTTGAGATGTTTATTATTTGAATTAAGTTGAATCTGTGTTGTGGTTTAAGTTTAAGTCTTTGTCATTGTTTGAGTGCGTGTGTGTGTGTGTGCGTGTGTGCGTGCGTGCGTGTGTGTTTATCCCTCACTTGAATATTCTTTTTCTGCTGTGTGACTTTGGTTGCATGCTCTTGTCTTTGTGCTTTTTCGCATGTGTATTCCTATTTTGTGTTTTG